AACCCCCAAAAAATCCCCCCCAAAAAACCCCAAAAATTCCGCAAAAAACCCTCAAAAATCCCAAAAAAAACAAAAAAAACCCCAAAAAATTCCCAAAAAAATCCAAAAAAACCCCAAAAAATTCCCAAAAAAAACCCCAAAAATTCCCCCGAAAAAACTCAAAAATCCCCAAAAAAAAACCCCCCAAAAATTCCCAAAAAAACCACAAAAATTACCAAAAAAACCCAAAAATTCCTAAAAAAACCCCTCAAAAAAACCCCAAAAATTCCCAAAAAAATCCCAAAAAAAACCAAAAAAAAAAAACCCAAAAAATTCCCAAAAAAGCCCAAAAAATTCCCAAAAAAAAACCCCCAAACCCCCCAAAATCCCCTGACCTGCTGTGCCCACGCCCTCAGCAAATCAGCCAGCACCAGGAGCAGTTCATCCAGATGTTGAACGAACCTCTGGGCGAGCTGGGCGAGCTGGAGGGGGAGGTGGGAGCCATCGGGGACGAGACCCCGCAGATGAATTACATCCAGGTCACCCCCCAGGAGAAAGAAGCCATAGAGAGGGTGAGAAAAATCGCGTTTTTGGGTAAAAAAATGTCGGGATTTCAACCCAAAATCCACGGGGGTGGGAGGGGGGTGAGGAGTGGGGGGGTGGGGGCAGCACCCAGAGCAAAAAATTGGTGGGAAAATGAGATTTTGGGGTTGGGATTAGCACAAAAAGCAAAAAAACTGATGGAAAAATGAGATTTTTGGGGTTGGGATCGGCACAAAAAGCAAAAAATTGGTGGGAAAATGAGATTTTGGGGTTGGGATCGGCAAAAAATTGGTGGGAAAATGAGATTTTGGGGTTGGGATTAGCACAAAAAGTAAAAAAACTGATGGAAAAATGAGGTTTTGGGGTTGGGATTAGCAAAAAATTGGTGGGAAAATGAGATTTTTGGGGTTGGGATCGGCACAAAAAGCAAAAAAACTGATGGAAAAATGAGATTTTTGGGGTTGGGATCAGCACAAAGAGCAAAAAATTAGTGGAAAAATGAGATTTTGGGGTTGTGGGCAGCACCCAAGAGGGAAAATTGATGGAAAAATGAGATTTTTTGGGGTTGGGATTAGCACAAAAAGCAAAAAAATCATGGGAAAATGAGATTTTGGGGTTGGGATTAGCAAAAAAAGCAAAAAATTGGTGGAAAAATGAGATTTTGGGGTTGGGATTGGCAAAAAATTGGTGGGAAAATGAGATTTTGGGGTTGGGATCGGCACAAAGAGCAAAAAAACTGATGGAAAAATGAGATTTTTGGGGTTGGGATCGGCACAAAAAGCAAAAAAACTGATGGAAAAATGAGATTTTTGGGGTTGGGATCAGCACAAAGAGCAAAAAATTAGTGGAAAAATGAGATTTTGGGGTTGTGGGCAGCACCCAAGAGGGAAAATTGATGGAAAAATGAGATTTTTTGGGGTTGGGATTAGCACAAAAAGCAAAAAAATCATGGGAAAATGAGATTTTGGGGTTGGGATTAGCAAAAAAAGCAAAAAATTGGTGGAAAAATGAGATTTTGGGGTTGGGATTAGCAAAAAATTGGTGGGAAAATGAGATTTTGGTGTTGTGGGCAGCACCCAAGAGGGAAAATTGATGGAAAAATGAGATTTTTTGGGGTTGGGATCAGCACAAAGAGCAAAAAATTGGTGGAAAAATGAGATTTTTGATTTGAGTGGGGGGCTGTAGTCAGTGCCCAGAGCGAGAACCGATGGCAAAATGCGATTTTGAGGTCGTGATCAACACCCAGAGCAAAAAAAAAAAACCGCCAGAAAAACGACATTTTTTTAGCCCCTAAACCAACCAAAAAAAAACCCCAAAAATTTAATTACCGAACCTCAGCATTAAACGGTGCCAGGAGGACGAGGATTAGAGCCCGGAAATGAGTCTGGGGGGGTTTGGGGAGGGGGTGGGCAGGGGTTTAACCCTTTGTGTGCCGCAGCTGAAGGCGCTGGGCTTTCCCGAGAGCCTGGTGATCCAGGCTTACTTCGCCTGCGAGAAGAACGAGAACCTGGCGGCCAATTTCCTGCTCAGCCAGAACTTCGATGACGACTGAGAGAGACCCCCCCCCTCCCCGCTTTTAGGGGGGAGGGTCCTCCCGCCTCTTTTTGGGGTGGGGGGAGGGGTGAGGAGGGGATCCCAGCCCCGTCAGGTTTTTTGGGGAGAGGGGCAAATCCCTTCATGTTTCTTCTGTGAACCAAATCTGTCTTCCATCACTG